ATCTGAACTAACAAAACACATTCTCTGTCCCCCAAAACACAGTGTCTCCCCCATACATTCTCCCTCCTCTTTCAATTGAAAAGTAGGATGCCCATTGAACAATGAAATTGAGAAACCTGCATCATGTGATGTTGTGCCAGCTCCTTGACGCACAGCAAACCCTTCCCAAGGCACCCTGCGACCAATTACACAATGGGATAGCTGCCACAATGCACTGCTGTCTGTGCCGCTGCAAGAGCTGCTAATGTGGATGTGCTCCACCATCGCAAAGAACACAGTGCAGACATGCAACAACTGTTTAATTCTAGCACATTAAGAAAACGTATAACTTCTTGTGCAGAAACTTGCCAGTATAGATATACGCTAACAGAAGGAGTATGTAAGAGTATGTCTACACTACCCCCCTAGTTCGAACTAAGGGGGGTATTGTAGTAATATGGAGTTGCAAATGAAGCCCGGGATTTGAATTTCCCAAGCTTCATCTGCATAAAGCCGGCCGGCACCATTTTTAAATGCCAGCTAGGTCGGACCCCGTGCCGCGCGGCTACACGCGGCACGGACTAGCTAGTTCGGATTAGGAAGCATTGCATAAAGCCGGCCGGCGCCATTTTTAAATGCCGGCTACTTCGGACCCCGTGCCGCACGCCTACCCGCGGCACGGACTAGCTAGTTCGGATTAGGAAGCAAGGGGGCACGGGGTCCGACCTAGCCGGCATTTAAAAATGGCGCCGGCCGGCTTTATGCAATGCAAATGAAGCCCGGGAAATTCAAATCCCGGGCTTCATTTGCAACTCCGTATGACTACATTACCCCCCCTAGTTCGAACTAGGGGGGTAGTGTAGACATACCCTAAGAGAAGGAAAGAAAGGAAAATAGGGAAAAAGCTGTAGAGAGAAATATGGTGGGTGAGAGAAGCCACAGGAAAAGAAGTCAGGGAGAGATTTTTTTGCCTTTCTGGTGCCAGTGAAAAATCTTTGTATGAAGGAAATGGGAAATGTATAACTGTGTAATACTTGGGGAGCCCACACACCTTGAGAAAAACAGGTGCAGGGTCCCTGTGTTGTCCTGCCTTCTTCTGGTATATCTCTGCTCTTCCACAGAGGGTTGTATGTCCAGAAGAGATCCACAGCATATCTGGTAGGACAAGAACCTTTAATAAAGACATCACTGTCAGTGATAGCCTTTTGCCCCCAACAAAGCCCTCTCCTCAATCTTCCACCGCCAGCACCAGCACCACTACCACCGGAACCCCATCTCCTTCAGCTACAGGAACAGCTGCTGTGAAGGATATCCTCCCATCAACATCACCCCAATCCAATTCCCACACGAGAATATTCCTAATCATCTCTCAGAGCCCATTTAAGCCGAAGAGGATATTAGAAAATTCCCCCATCAATCAGATCAGAGAGAAGGCTGAGAGAGGCCAGCAGCAAGGAAAGACATCCAGCCTTGAGGAGTCCCATCTACCCACCAGTGACCTGGAAGACCTCTTCCTGCGACTACAGAACCCCGATGTGCAGCATCTGATGCAGATAATGCAAGTGCTGCTGGCCAAGCTGAAGACAGCAGGAGAGCAAGAGTTACAAGCTACTTCCCTGAAGCTGCTGACGGCACTGAACCACGCAGACATACAGCAGGAGGTTAAGCCAAAAGCCACAGAAAGAG